GACAGACAGACAGACAGACAGACAGATAGATAGATAGATAGATAGATAGATAGATAGACAGACAGACAGACAGACAGATAGATAGATAGATAGATAGATAGATAGATAGATAGATAGATAGATAGATAGATAGATAGATAGATAGATAGATAGATAGATAGATAGACAGACAGACAGATAGACAGACAGACAGACAGACAGACAGACAGACAGACAGACAGACAGACAGACAGACAGACAGACAGACAGACAGACAGACAGACAGACAACATAAATGAAGGCGGTGTGGTTCAGGAAAATCAGTCAGGTGAAACTAATGCATGTTTTTCGAGCGAAATAGTTAAATGATGAATGCAACAACGAACAAAGTAAATTTGTCTCTGATAATGTAATAAATATCTCAAGTAGAGTTTTGACGCAGGCTGAGGTTTCGCTACTTTCAAGGGGTCTAAAGTTTTGTCCCACCCCGATTGAATTAGATATTTCATCTGTTAAAAGAGATATTAAGGAATTTGGTAGAAAGCTAAAATGTAAGGCATTTTTTCTTTCCAAAATCGGTATGGAACAAGAGGGGCAAACATTTAGACAATTTAGGGAAAAATCAGCGTGGTGTCCTACTGAAGTAGAACGATGAAGCTTATAATCACCTTAATGATCAGCAGGTATATGAGGTTACTGAGTCAGATCCCTTGGATACGGTTAATTCTTTAGTAGAAAAAACGTTGGATCCTTTGGTGTATAAAGGATATATATCTTTGGCCAATAGAAAATATCTAGTGGTTTCCAAACCCCGATTAGGAAAATTTTACTTGTTGCCTAAAATTCATAAGCGTTTGGAGAATGTACCAGGACGGCCGGTTATTTCTAATTGCGGTACGGCCACTGAAAGAATATCGGAATTTTTGGACTTTCATATACAACCTCTAGTGTGTAATGTATCATCTGTTATTAAGGATACTTCTGATTTTCTTAAAAAATTAGAGAGTTTGGGACACATTCCATCTACTGCTATTTTGTGTACTATAGATGTGATCGGCTTGTACCCTCCATATACCACACGAGGAAGGGTTGGAAGCGCTTCTGGGAGCTTTTAATAGGGCTGAGTGGGAGCTACCGGTTGAGGACTTGGTTTCTTTGGCAAGGCTTATCTTAGAAAACAACTATTTTGAATTTGATGAAAAAATCTTCCGCCAAAAATTGGGGACAGCCATAGGGACCAAGTTCGCAACAGGTTTTGCAAATATATTTATGGGCTACTTGGAAGAAAAATTTTTGGAGACGTGTGAGTTAAAACCGTGGGTATGGTGGCTTTTTCTGGATGATATTTTTGTGATTTGGCTTCATTCGGAGGAGGAGTTAAATTATTTTTTGCTTCGTTTGAATTCTTTTCACGAAAATATCAAGTATACATGGGATATAAGTTATCATAGGATTTCTTTTCTTCACGTGTCGGTAGGATTGGATAATGTTTTTTTTTGTACTGACGTGTATAGTAAACCCACTGATGCACATCAGTATTTAAATTTTAAGTCCTGCCATCCTCCACATGTTAAGAGGGGAATTCCCTGTGGACAGGCATTGCGTCTTAAGCGGATTTACCATTCAGATAAGGTTTTTGAGAGTAGGCTTCAGGAATTGAAAGGGTTTCTGGTTAAAAGGGGCTATAATAGCGAATTTGTAGAGAGTCAGTTTAAGAGGGTAAGGTTTTTGGATCGGTCGGCATTATTTAAACGGGGAAGTGAGCAAACTAGAAGAGAAAATAATAAGAGTACCTTTATCATAGATTATCACCCAGCATTGCGGGAAATTTATGGAATTTTTAGGGAATTGCAAAATATTGTAGGCTTATCTAGCAAGTTCCTAAGTGTCATGCCAGAGCCACCTATGGTGTGTTTTAGGAGATCCAAAAACCTTAAAGACCACTTTGTTCGGGCTAAATTGTATAAGCTTGAGGTTGCAGCTAGAGGAATGGTTAAATGTGGGGAGAAAAAGTGCAAGGTTTGCGATTCCATCGTGGTAGCGGATACTTTTCAAAGTACAGTACAACAGCGCACGTTTCACATTAACCATCACTTTGATTGTAACTCTCAGGGGGTGGTTTATTTAATTACTTGCGGAAAATGTAATAAACAATACGTGGGCAATACGGTAACGTCATTTCGTCTTAGATTTAATAACCACAAGAGTTCGCTTAATAGATTTTCTAAGGGCCAAAGAGGTTTATGTGGTCAACATTTGTATGAACATTTTTTTGAGGAGGGCCATTCAGGTCTTAATGATTTTAAAGCACAGATTATTGATATCACGGATGTTAATAAACCTACAGAGAGGGAAAGTTTTTGGATTGAAAAATTGAATACATATGTACCACTGGGATTAAATTTGAGGGAGGAATATTAATGCAAGTCTATATATATTATTAGTGTATGTTAATTAGGATTGGGCCAAAAGTATTTAAGGACATGGATTTGAACTTATCTCGTTTCTGACGAAGGGGCTGTGCCCCGAAACGTATCTTTATCTTTACAACATGTATTTGTTTGTTTGAAGTTTAATAAAATTTATTTTCAATTTGAAATATATATATATATATATATATATTAAGCAAGCCACGAAACTGGTTTTTTTTATGTTAGGTACTTGTAATATACATGTATAGTTTAATTAGTTAATAAAGTTTAAATAATATTTATTCGCCTTACATCAATTTGTCTAACATTCAGAGCTAAACGCAGCTATAGGATTTTCATAAATGCACAAGATAATATCCATATTATACACATACTCTTACTACATAAATATAGATGCTTGTACAAATACGTATGTTGCAAAATGTTTAGTGGGTATATGCATGCATCTGCTCTTTTGTATTACAAATAAAAGTTTTTGATCAATATAAAGACAGTGTTTGTTTAATTTGCAGAAAGCTTGCCTAGAAGTATTTTCATGAAATTTTCCCCTGATTTATGTTGTCTCACAACTTACATTTTCCACACAATATGTCGCTAGTGTCATATAAGTGCGCACAATATTTTTAATAGAAGAACACATTCAAATACACTTAAGCTGCTGAAATTTTTTTCAACACAGTTTTGTTAACAACAATAAGTTTATATAATTTTAACAACTACAGTTCGAGTCTATATTAATTTAAGTGTTGTCGCACGCATTCGTAATGTTGTCGGTGCTCTGGATTGTTCAAACTTGTACAGTGGGCAGTTTAAAATTGCAGTTCAGCGCATACCAAACTTTACTATCGTTTTTTTGAGATAATTGTCCTCCCCTTGTGTAAACCTGACTTTAACCCTGCTTTTTCGTAGCGTTTCATCGTTGTTTTCAATTTCCCCTTCGCTTGTATGAGATGACGCCGTCTCACCATCGCCTTCGGTTTCCATGTCTTTCACTTGAATTCCGTTGGAATTTTGCTGTCTCAATTGCTGTACGCCGAAATGTCCATTGCTCTGCCATGGTCCCCGCGCAGTTCTTCCATGCATGATCGTCCCTTTAACGCTACTTCCCGAGACCGCAGCTTCTGATAGTCAACTCTCGCCACGTTTGAGCTATGTTTTTGGTCCTCGGATACCAATTGTTGTTCTTCCAAATCTAAATTGTTTACGCTCTCCGTTTCGATAATCTGCCTGTACCTCGTTGGGTGAATGTACTTGCCTATCGCTTCAAACACGAGAACGCTAAGTAACTCAGTGAGCTTCTGAAATTGACTACCGCTTCGATTTAAAAGCAAATATTCACATTGTGGTTTCAGCAGGGGTCGCACGTATTGAACGTAATCATTGACAATTTCCAAGCTCATCTCGTCGAAGTAAAGAGAATTGAACCCGTATCTTTGCGCCGTTTTAAAAATGGTTTGATCGACCATTCCAGCGTTTGTTTTTGCGCTTTCAAACATACGGGCCGTCAAATGCTGGAAGGTCATCGGTCGGCATCCTTTCACTCTGACAAACATAAAGACGGCAACAAATCTTGTAGCAAAAGTCAAGTCGGTTGAAACGACAAAAGATTTTTTCCTGCACTCTTCTAGAACTGTTCTGTAGCGTTGTAAATGAAAGGGAATTACTGTCTGAAGTTCAGTAAGCGTAGCCCAACTTCTTCTCGATTCGAGGCTTGCAATATGTGAGAACGCATGCAGGAGGTAATTCTAGGTTTTTTGAGGTAAAACGAAAAACTATGTTACGTTCTATCTATATATGGTATTGAGCACTATTTGTGTTTCGTAAACCAAAACCTTATAAGCTATATATATAGTGCTCAATACCATATAGATAGAGCGTAATATAGTTTTTCGTTTTACCTCAAAAACCACAACAGTCTGCTTCATCCGTATAGGTATAATCAGGTGCATGGTGAGTAATTTCGAAATTGAAGGTTGCTTTTATGCTATCGAAAGAATGTGCGGAATGCGTGTAGGCGAAACAATGCTTAGGCGAAACAATGCTTAGGCGGAACAATGCTTAGGCGAAACAATACATGCTTGGATCATTAAGTTTTGTTAACGACCTTTTTTACTCGAAACCGGTTTTTGTGACGACATTTGCCGAAAATGTCGCTTCTTTTATTGAGTAAATTGTCTCTGTTTATGTCTTTCAAAATGCAAAATTTTCTTCCAAACATAAATTGCACCGTTTTGACCCCCCTGTGTATGAAATAGCATGTTTTAAAATTGACGAAAAGATGAAGTGTGGTTAGCGTAATGTTCCTTAAATGTATAGTCGTTGTCATACCAATGTAGTGTTTAGTGTTGTTCGTTGTGACTGTGGCTTTGTAAACAATGTTGTTGGTCATACATTGTTTCGGTAGTGTGCAAGTGCTTTTGTTGTCGCAGTTACAGTTGTCAGTTTTCGTATTCTGTGATTGACTGTTCCTATAATTATATGTGCGTTGTGTTTGGTGATTATAGACTTAACGTTGTTCATGCAACTGTAGCTTACTTTTAAAGTGTTTCTGTTGAAAATCTTGTGTAGTTTCTGCTGTAGTGGGAAGTGTTTGTCAATTAAACTTAAGAGTTCCCGTCCTATGTTCGTGTTAACACTCTTACTAAATGGTGGGTTGAACCAAATTATGTTGCGTTGCCTATTCCTACGTGTCCATTGCGGTGCATCCTGAGTGTACGTAAATTCGTGATCAAAGTTACTATGTCTAAGTAACTTTAGTCTTCTGGTAAATCGGTGTAGATTCCTTAAATGTTTGTTCGTCCGATGAGAAAAGTGCAATGCGTTTGTTGATAGCCGTAGGTAATTGTCTTGTAATGCTTTGTGGATCGTTTGAGTGCCTGTTGATGTACCATGGATCGTCATTGGGTTTCCTGTATGGTTTGTGTTTTGCGTTGATTAGGTCGAATATGACATCTAAAAAATTTACAACGTTCAACTTTACTTCGGCAGTGATTTTCTTTTTAGAATGTTTTTAGAATGGATGGTGGATGGTTAGATCGGCTGTCAACGTAAAGTGGTTGGTTGTTTGGCTTTCTGTACGGTGCAAATTTTTCATTTTCCAAATTTAGCGTAATATCCAGAAAGTTGATGACTTGATTGTTAACCTGAGCAGTTATCTTCAAACCAATTTGACCAAATATGTCATGTAACATCTTTCTTGCTTTGTCCGCCTTTCTTCCATTAACGCCTTCAATTAATGCAAGGCGATCGTCGCGGTATAGCCCAACATTTTCTTTACCAAACTTCTCCGCGAGCTTACTCAGAACGAACAAACCAACCAATTCGCATATCTCCGCTCCATCAAAGCTGCCCATCGTTACATCAAATAATGAATCGCTACTTCGTTTTGTCCAAGCTGTATCGCCGTTAAACAAGAGTGATTTTCGCACATGTTTGATTATGGAAATATCTTCTTCCGGGATTGTTGTTAAAGTTGTAGCCCAAACGATGGCGCGGTCAAGGAGGTCTTCTGTGATGGAAGGATAAAATTCAATATATATGTCAAACGATAAAAATGTATGGTTGGGTTTTCCTTCGATGTTCTGGAACCAGTCAATAACAGACGTGGAGTTTTTCCATTGGTTAACTTTTATGGCTGATCGGATGTTATTGTTGATATTATCAAGGATGACTTTGCTTACTTTTCCAAGTTCACTCTTAATCAGGCGGCATTTTACATTGGAAGGGAAGTTTTCTTTATGATCTTCTATTGTAACGAAGGCGTTACGTTTAGCCATAACATCAACACGGTTTCTTATGGAGAGATTGTTAGTAATGTCCCGTAGCTCCTCGTTAATATCATCTGTTATCTTGCTATTACCAATTTTATAAGTTTTTGTAATGTTCTCTGTCAGTAGTTTTTTATAAGATTCTGGATTAGTCTCATAAACATTAGTTGTCTTGTCAGCAAATACGAAAACGTTTTTGGAAGAATTAACATTTTTGATGTCTTCATTAACTTGTTTAAGGAAAGGATCATTCACATTTCGGAACGAAACGTCTGATATCAACTTAATGAGGTCTTCTTCAAATCCTTTCATTTCTTTAACTGGTGGCCCGCATTTCTTATATGGTAAACCAAACTTTAAAACTGAAAGCGTAGTGCATCGTATGAGGTGGAAAGCTAATTTTTACCTAAATGGAAACAGTTGTACGGAGAAAGGCGGAAAGTTTGGTTTACCATCTAAGAAGTGCGGGCCACCAGTTAAATAAATGAAAGGATTTGAAGAAGACCTCGTTAAGTTGATATCAGACGTTTCGTTCCGAAATGTGAATGATCCTTTCTTTAAACAAGTTAATGAAGACATCAAAAATGTTAAGTCTTCCAAAAACGTTTTCGTATTCGCTGACAAGACAACTAATGTTTATGAGACTAATCCAGAATCTTATAAAAAAACTACTGACAGAGAACATTACAAAAACTTATAAAATTGGTAATAGCAAGATAACAGATGATATTAACGAGGAGATACGGGACATTACTAACAATCTCTCCATCAGAAACCGTGTTGATGTCATGGCTAAACGTAACGCCTTCATTACAATAAAAGATCATAAAGAAAACTTCCCTTCCAATGTAAAATGCTGCCTGATTAATCCATCAAAGAGTGAACTTGGAAAAGTAAGCGAAGTCGTCCTTGATAATATCAACAATAACATCCAATCAGCCATAAAAGTTAACCAATGGAAAAACTCCACGTCTGTTATTGACTGGTTCCAGAACATCGAAGGAAAACCCAACCAGGTGCGGATCTAGGATTTTTCATACATAAGTCGAACGCCGAAGGCGTGAGACATGCTGCATGCCCCCCGGAAAATTTTGAAATCTAGAGTCTCTGAAATGCGATTTCAAGCGTTTTGGCGGTGAGATTTTGCAGAATTCCAAAGATGATAAAGTACATCAAGCACATGCTTTTTTTATGATCTCACAAACGTGCCTTCTCCCAGTCCTCGGAAATAGATTTACTAACGGAGTGTCATATTACAAAACACATCATGTAGTTTCAACTTTCAATAGCCTTTGAGTTTGGCTCATGAAATCCTTCGCAAATTGAAGTGATATGATACCAATGGCCGATCCAATATAACTCGCTGTTTGTGAATCAAAATTCTCAAGCAAAATAAAGAGTAATATTTCAATTATACTTTGTAAAATGCATTTTTTATTCAATGAATTAAAATATGCTATAAATATCACTTGTATATTATAACGATATTCATCGCAAATCTTTCATGCAATGCAAATCATCCAAATTATATTGTTTTAACCCGCCAATGCTCTATTCTGGCCCTTTTTATAATGGGCAATGCATTTATAAATTATAAATACAGCAGGAAAGCTCGAAAGCGCATTGTAAGTTGCAAGTCGATTGCGTGTAAAAATGTATTAAAGCGTGTTATATTTCAACTTCGCATTTATCATACAAGATACATTTATTTATTTATTTTATTTTACAATCTTTGTCACATGACCGGTTTAACCCACAGAGCTAGTTGCTCCTTTACGGGTAACCTGCAATTATATTCCTGCAACATTGCAATATATTCATTTCTGTTTCATAATTTTGGATATTTTCATACATTATAGCAGTGCACACTTTCCCTTTGGCTTTACCACTTACGACCATGATCTTTGTGATCTAAATTACGACCATGATCTTTGTGATTTATTGTGAAGCACGTAGCAGAGAAGTCCCAACTTAGTGTCTTCTCGTTGTTGAACAGAACAACATTATAAAAGCTGCTCGCTTGATATCTTAGCTGCCCCACAATAATCCTCATTCAGAGACAATTCAAGTTTATTAAAAGCCGTTAAATCGTCTCGTAAAATCGGCCGCGTACATATAAATACTCGACATCGTAAAATAATTGTCCCAACTATGAAAAACCTTCATATACGGGAATGTGAAAGACTGCTTTGCATGAATTTCGCAATTTTCAAGGACTGATATCCCCTGCCGCGAATAAGTCCGAATCAGTCCAAAAAAATAAACCAATAGAAATTGTCAATAATTTCAAATTGACCAATCAAAATGAAGGAAATGGACTGATAAAAACTCCCTTAAAGTGCAAATCAGTCGGACCACCCCATAAAAACTCTCTTAAGTTGCAATTCAGTCCGACCACCCCACAATATTTTCAAATTGACCAATCAAAGGAACGAAATGGACTTATAAAGACTCCCTTAAAGTGAAAATCAGTCCGGCAACCCCACAGATCAGTCGAGATAAGTCCAAATGACCTCTCGACCAATCAAATGAGCATAACGACCACCCGATTCTGCGAGATTCTTGCGTTTTACCGCTGCTCTAGATAAAGCATATATTTATTCAAAACTGAGCTCGTAAAGACGTATACTGGACTATGATATGAATTTCATATTATATTCGGGAATTAATTACTCAAATTTCGAAATAATAAATTAATTATTTCTTTGCAAAAAATACGTCAGTCACGCGACTGATTGGACTTACCCTAGATCCGCCCCTGAACCCAACAATACATTTTTATCGTTTGACATAGTTGAATTTTATCCTTCCATCACAGAAGACCTCCTTGACCGCGCCATCGTTTGGGCTACAACTTTAACAACAATCCCGGAAGAAGATATTTCCATAATCAAACATGCGCGAAAATCACTCTTGTTTAACGGCGATACAGCTTGGACAAAACGAAGTAGCGATTCATTATTTGATGTAACGATGGGCAGCTTTGAGAGAGCGGAGATCTGCGAATTGGTTGGTTTGTTCGTTCTGAGTAAGCTTGCGGAGAAGTTTGGTAAAGAAAATGTTGAGCTATACCGCGACGATGGCCTTGCATTAATTGAAGCGTTAATGGAAGAAAGGCGGACAAAGCAAGAAAGATGTTACATGACATATTCGGTCAAATTAGTTTGAAGATAACTGCTCAGGTTAACAATCAAGTCGTCAACTTTCTGGATATTACGCTAAATTTGGAAAATGAAAAATTTGCACCGTACAGAAAGCCAAACAACCAACCACTTTACGTTGACAGCCGATCTAACCATCCACCATCCATTCTAAAGCAAATTCCTGTCTCAATTAACATTAGAATCTCTTCCCTTTCATCTGACCAACAATCCTTCGATAAATGCAAACCTTTCTACGAAAGCGCACTTAAACACAGCAATTACAATGTTTCTTTGGAATATTCACCATACAGCCCTTCTTCCCCACCATCTACGAAACGAAGGCGCCAAAGAAACATTATCTGGTACAACCTCCCGTTCAGCAAATCCGTTAAAACCAACATCGCGCGGAATTTCCTACAGCTTCTAGATAAACTCTTCCCACCTACAAATCCTTTGCACAAAATATTCAACCGTAACACATGCAGTCAAAGTTAGCTATAGCTGCATGCCTAATGTAAAGAGCGTTATATCTCTCCACAACAATTGCATCCTGTCAAAACCCACAACTACCCCACCAACATCAGATAATTGCAACTGTAATAACCCGAGTGAATGCCCTATTAAGAAGAACTGTAAATCTAAAAACATTATCTACAAGGCCCAAGTTACATCACCCAACGACGGTGTCATAAAAGAGTATATAGGAATGACGGCGACTACTTTCAAAGAACGATATGGAAATCATAAGAAATCCTTCAAACTTCAAAGATATAAAAGCGATACAGAGCTGTCAAAGTACATCTCGGGGCTAAAGAGTAATAATAAAGATTACAACCTAAAATGGTCAATTCTGAAGCGGGCAGGCGCATACTCATCTGGTGCAAAGCGTTGCAATCTCTGCATTGAAGAAAAACTCTGCATAATGGATGCAAACAAACATTTAACACTGAACAAAAGACCCGAGATATTCGCAAAATGCCGACATCGCGAGAAATTTTGGGCGGGAAATTTTGAACGCCGTGCGAATAATGACGGTGCACGTCAGCAAACTATAGATCACGCCATTATAACGAACTGAATTTAATCGCCTAAAGATTTCCACAAATAGTGGCATGAAACTTAAAGTAGCGAGAAATTGAAACATTTTAAGATAACAAAAGATAACTTCATAAAGTTTATTCAAGATTTATTCAAGATTTTTTTTTTGGCACTGCCCTACAATATTTATTTATTTTTTAGATTTTTTTATTTATATTTTATTTATTTTATCTTTATCTTTATTAGCTCTATACTTCGGTATATCGAGCACTCTACTCATATATCATTCTCAACACATATTTTATATATATATATATATATATATATATATATATATATATATATATATATATATATATGTATATATATACTTTCCTTACAGGTATTTTTGTAAAGTTCAAAGTTACTTTTATTTCACTAGCTACACCGGCGGCGGAACAGCAACAGGCACTGCCCTACAATATGTTCGTAACAGTCTTATCTTCAACGCGGCAGCCGGAGCGAGAAGTGGTGCCAAAAAAGTGGTTTTTCTTCTAACAGATGGCAGATCCAACCGCGGGGTCACTCCAGGGATCCCTGCAGGACAGTTGAAAAGTGCTGGAGTGATTATGTTTGCTTTAGGAGTTACGTACATGATCCGACAGAGCGAACTGTTGGCAATTGCGACATCACCAAACCATGTGTTTCACATCGCAAATTATGCAGTTTTGAATCAAGTCATTTATGCCATTAGAGGAGGCGAGTTACAGAGAGCTCTACATATACAGTAAAACCCCGCATATAAGAACGGATAATTTACGAGCCTGTTCAACTAAAAAGATTTATTTTGACCACCTTTAAATAAGAACCTGTTCAGGCCAGAATTTCAGAGCAGGTTCTTATTTTACCAAATTTAGTCAAAATTAAAAATTTAATAAACGAAAGAAAATAAGCTCTTCACAAAGTAATGAAAATAAACCCCAGAAATTTCATTCAGATAAATAACATGTCTACCGTATATGAACACAACAACAGACAATCGTATTTCTTCAGTGAAAATACTACATGACTGTAGGCAATGTTCTCCAGCATCATGAACTGTTAGATAAAATGTGCATAATTTGAAAAGTAGTTTTTTATCAGAAGGAAAAAGGAAGTCATTTAAGAAGACCCTCCTTAAATAAGAACCTGTTTAAGCTATATTTTCAGTCTAAACTAAGAAAATAGGCTTTTCACAAAGTAATGAGAATGACCCAGAACCCTGGAAATGACAATAACATGTCTATATGGACACAACAACAAAAAAGTGTATTTCTTCAGTGAAAATATTACATGACAATCTCAACTATATAGTGAACGTAAGCAATGCATGTTTTCCAGCATCATGGATTGTTAGATAATGTGTGCATAATTTGTATAAATCATAGTACCACACCTACTTCACCTACTGAAAATGAGTCGCTTCTTTCTTAAAATAAGAATCCATTTAAGGGCCTGTTTAGCCCACTTTCCTGCAGGTAAGCATCACGAACACAGGAACCTGTTTAGGTTAACTTGGAAAATCCTAGTATATTTACCTCGGTATATTTACTTCCAAGTGCCAGTCCTTTAATTTTGTCAGCGCATTTAGCACCAGCCTACAAGGAGCGTGCCAAAATTTTGAGTTCTGACTTGGATTTAAAGAATAATCCTATAGTTTTATATATAAATTGATAACTTAATCAGCGATATAATCCGTTAGAAAAAATGAAAGTAGCTGGAATGAAATTAGCTACATGAAATTACGACATTAATTCATTTTGGATGCGAATTCCAGCCACCTTAGTTTCACTCTTCTCACAGGCCGAATGATTGAAGCTCTTTCTCCAGGTATATATATAGAGCTCACTGGTGAATTGGCGCCAGTTCTTTGCCCAAGTTCGACCAAACGCATCATAAATTAGGCCAATTCTTGGGTTTCATATCATGACGTCACAAAAGTGACGGGAGGGGGGGGGGGGTAACTCTAAAACAAAATACGGTTCCCAGAGTGAGTTGATTGTTCGTTTTATGTATTGGCCTTGTGTTTGGTCGCAAATACATAGACCTTTGTATCATTTTCTCACTCCAGTACAGTATAAGCATCAATACATTTGAGGTTGACCCACGTAAGATCCACTGCATAATGCCGTAGTGAAACCCAAGAATACTAAACAATTATTATCGGTGAATAAAAACAGAGACGAAGTCGAGGTTTTTATATTCAGGATAATCACCGAGCCTGAGGTGAATAATTGTTTTAGTATAATTTCATAGGTGATTATTTGGAAAAAAATACACATTTCTTCGTCATTTAATTGAAAAAATGGCTACTAATATACTGAACATTTCTAATACAGATCTCTTCAAGAAGTGCTACAATGGTCAGACAGTCTACGATGAATGTGGAAGAAGATGCAGATGCCAAGACGGAAAACTGGTCAAATGTTGTCGCCTTCGAAGAGAATTTACAGACATGTCCTACACTGAACGCGTTCGCTACATCAACACTGTTAAGACAGCTTCGACCAATCCAGCTTACAAGCCCCAATATGACACCCTTCTGACACTACACAAAACAATCTTCTTCAGTGGTATTCACGATATAGACTTTTTCCTACCGTGGCATCGTTGGTACATATTACAATACGAAAATCTTCTACAACAAATCGATTGTCGCGTCACCGTTCCTTATTGGGACTGGAGTTTGGTCGGGGCTAACCCTTTCTCGAGTTCGATTTGGAACACAGTTGCGGGCGGCTTCGGTGGGAATGGAGTGCCAGGGGGGAGCTGTGTGAACACTGGCCCATTCAAACAGGGGGTGTGGTCACTTCCAGCTAGCGCCGGGGGAGGATGCTTGAGGCGAAACTTTACAAGTACAGCCCCAGACGCAATTGCAGTTCAGAATCTGATATCGTCAAATTCCAACCCCGAAGACTTCTTAAATTTCGAACAAATGTTGCGAATCCAATTCCACGATCTTGTTCATTGCCGTATCGGTGGCATAATGTGCATTCCAAATTCCGCAACGTCTCCCGAGTTTTTCCTGCATCATGGCTTCGTTGATAAGATCTGGTGGGACTGGCAGAAGCAAAGCAACGCGCACAAGTTCAATACATATTTCCTCACGCAAGCTGGGTTAATGACATCCACACCGTATCGATCCAGAGATTTTCTTGATTTGAATAATCAACCTGGTTGCGTATGCGCCGAATATGTGGACCCACGTAATGTTGCCTACGGACAAATTAAAGGTTTGTCACTATAGTTACTACCACGTAAAGGATTGTAAGGCATTTTAAGCAAGACTAGAATGTAATGCGAATTTTTAATTAAGCAGGTTTTGAATTAAAGGAGCTCAAAGTTGGCAAAATCGTAGCTAAAAGCATAAATTAGCGCATTTTGTGCGTTAATTCAACATCGCCAAAGAAAATATGCTACTAGCTTAAATGTCTTATATATACTTTGTTGCAAACTTTCTAATGGTTAAAGGTATAGCTTATTTTTGTTAAAAGTGAACTTGATATTTTGCATTTTTTCTCAACGTGGTAATTAATAGGCAAAATTCTAAAATTCTAAAATATTCGCCTATAAGGCCAAAATCAGAGTTGCCAACATATATAGTCTTGTTCATTAATGTCCATACTCAATGAAAATATCAGTTGGCAGCTTGTAACAGAAAATGCCATCAAACAAATATTTTTGTACATTTTCAAGTTTTGGCCGGCCGTCGACAAGGAGAATAGTTCTACGTTTCGAACGAATTAGGTCCTTCGTCGGGGGAAGTTATAATTAGTAGCTCGATGTTAGGCCTTCGCTCGAGACGTGGAAGTTCTCCTTGTATTTTTCGGGCAGTTGTATCCGTACCAATCTGCAGCTTTCAGAAAACAAAATTACTTAGAATACATTGTTATACAAGCTAAAGCGTACACATTATTCAACTTTACTTTATTTACGCCCTTAAACTACTTAAATTTCTTTTAAATTTCTGTAATTAAATTTCTGTAAGTAGCAATATTTTCAGTGATTTTAGGTAAAACACCGTAAATGACTTTTTGCGTTATTTAAAAGCAATATAGTGTGTAATATAGTGTACACCCCTCTCCTCGTTCGCTACGTTCCTTATCGTCTGCAACAACCCAATAATTGTCTCTTTCATTACATTACATTACATTCTACTTCATTTAGCCATGTCAGTTAGTCAACTAAAGAGTGTCGCACGATTGCCACTACCACCGCTGTCAAGCAAGGCTGCCAAGTTGTTCCATACTTCCTCCGCAGAAATGAAGCTAGTTACCAGACTTCGCGCCAAGATTAAACCCAGACTAACTGTGTCCAAGAGCGCCTTGCATGGCCCTGACGCGAAACTTGGCATGATGTTGAGCAAAATTGGACAAGGTGACTAAGTTCGTAGTTCGTGCTCCTTCGAAGTATTCTATAACTAAAGCTAGGCCGACTCCGGAGACTTACTTAGGTTGAAGGGATTTTTTACACAGTGGAAATGTCGATCGGAAGATTATATAGCTAAATAGGAGCTGAGCAGCTCTAAAATTGTATATAATGTTTCCCTCGCAATTTCCATCTACAAAACCCTTCAACTGTTAGTTCTATCGAGCGAGATGCCAAAAAATCTCGATGTTGAATGGACGATTCCAGCCATAGACGAAATATATACGAAATTTGCGAATTACACAGGGCTATATTTTCTTCATTTTACAACATTTAGCAACCAATATTTGCAGTTTTACTCTGAGACACTCTTTCTAGCTGCGATGTTGCCTGTTGGATTTCGTTATTCTTGCCAAAATTTAGTCTATATCCAGTGGAATCACCATTAGATTACATACCTCCGTCAGTGAATTAAGGTGATTTATCAGTAATTGTTCTGGAAATGACAATTTGCTGAAACTCCCAGGGGTGAAGGTTATGATATGCTCACAGTAAAAACAGAAAAAAAAGTTGGGGTCACCAAACTCGTTTCGAATATATGACAAGTGCAATATGCCATCTTTCCCCCCGGCCTATATGCATGGCGCTATTTGACCCTTTTACGAGTTACAGGAACAATCGCAATATGTTAATAAAGATTAGGGTTTTAGCTTTCGAATGACTGTAACTTCCTTGTATTATTTCAAGCAAAAATGACCAAATGCGAGCCGATTGAAATCACATTTTTTTCCACCTATGTGGATCATTAAAGCAGTGCAGAAGAAAATAAAAAAACCCAATTTACTGCAATGCAATTTCCACGTACCGGCAATTTTTATTCGATCCGTATTTGGTCATTTTCTCTTATACCAAAAAGGTATCATTGGACAGTTGAAAGCCTGAATTTTCTTGTCGTCTAAATATTTTCCCGATAAACTCTATACCTATAACGCACGCGAACATGCTGATTAGAAGTTGGATTATAGTATTATACCTTTTTTATGTACACTGTATAAGCATACCTGAGTTCCAATTGATCATTTTATTGTTCGTCCCATAGGCCCCATTGGTGTCAATGGCAGCCAAGTAGCTTTTGATGAGGAACAGCAGAATGGATCCGAAGAAGAAATTTTTCAACTATAAATGCTGCCAACTCGGAACAACAACGGAATTGAAATCCATGTGATATTATTGTATTAATATGTTCTTCCTAATAAACGACATATGAAACAGTTATCAGTGTAAGACAGTGAGAGTTAATGGAAATCCGGGTAGGGACTTCAGACTTCAAATTATAACAGCTGAGACTTCAGACTTTAAAATATGGAACTTATAGTTTTAGAATGAGTGCCAAACTTCATTAGATATAGGCTAATGCAGTTCACTGAAGAGTATTAAATGTGTTAAAATTTTGGGTTATTAGTTTAAATTATGCATTATGTTAAAATTTTGGATTATAGTTTTGTTTAGTTAAGGTTACATGGCCTTACATCCTAAAAACGGTGGTGTAGCCATGCAGGCCGGTTTACAAAGTGTGTGTGTGTGTGTGTGTGTGTGTGTGTGTGTGTGTGTGTGTGTGTGTGTGTGTGTGTGTGTGTGTGTGTGTGTGTGTGTGTGTGTGTGGGGAAAGTTGAGCGTCAAAGGCGCGAACACTGTAGGGGGGTCCGAGGCGCATGCTTCCCCTGGGAAATTTTGAAATTCAGAGCCTCTGAAACACTATTTCGTGCATTTTGGGGTGATAATTTACAAAATTCAGAAGATTATAACATCATAATTCGGTCAAGAATGCCTGCGACTTCAGTTATTAGATCGATAATAATAATCTTAAGATAAATATTAATGCCCAGCATAAAATACGTAAAAGAGCCATAACAAAAATGTAGTTTAAAATACTTATTAGAAAGCTAACGTTTCGTCTTTAACTTAAGACATCTTCAGAGCAATGACATACAAAGCGGAAAACACGGAAATATGAATAAATTACATCACTATTTACAAGATATTATATTACAAAAGTAGAAAGAGGAATGGATCAGAGTAGAAGTAGAGGGACCGAACTGCCTTGTAAGTTGAGAGAGGGTTTGAGTTTGTTAATGAGAAGACTTTCTCGAATGAGGAGTCCGTCTGGAGAAGAGCTACAAGAAATAATCTTAAAATCATTAAGAGAGGCGGAGTGACCAGTGCTATAAAAATGGGAAAGGATACTAGACATGGTCGGTTGCTGCTTTTACTGCCTGCATGTTAGAGAAGAAACACCCAAGTGTTCAGATACTCGTGTTTGCAAGTGACGCAGTTTCTTTAGTCTTTGCTCCAATTATGAGAACTTTCACGCTCAGTTAGAACTATACCGCCAAATTCTTAATAAGAATTGTTATCCGTCTTTTTGATCGCTGCGTACTAACATTTTTAGAAAATATGTCTCAACCCAAACTAGCTGTTCATTCTGCTCCTAAGAAAGTCCTATATTTCTCTCTTCCATATACTGGCGCTCACGCTCTTCAAATTCGCACCCAAATCTCTCGTCTTTGTTCCTCGGCCTCTTAATATTAGATTCGTTTTTCGTCCAACTTTACGTTTGTCTCAACTCTTCACCTTTAAGGACAAAATTGGCCTAACGTTTTAAGATCTTGTGTTGTGTATTCCTTCACGTGTCGTTGCTGTTCCGCAACGTATTTGGGCCAAAAGGTCCGTCACTTGCACACACGCGAGTATCTGAACACTTGGGTGTTTCTCCTCTAACAGGCAGTAAAAGCAGCAATCCGACCATGTCTAGTATCCTTTCCCATTTTTATAGCACTGGTCACTCCGCCTCTCTTAATGATTTTAAGATTATTTCTTGTAGCTCTTCTCCAGACGGACTCCTCATTCGAGAAAGTCTTCTCATTAACACACTCAAACCCTCTCTCAACTTACAAGGCAGTTCGGTCCCTCTACTTCTACTCTGATCCATTCCTCTTTCTACTTTTGTAATATAATATCTTGTAAATAGTTGTAATTTATTCATATTTCTGTGTTTTCCACTTTGTATGTCATTCATCTGAAGATGTCTTAAGTTAAAGACGAAACGTTAGCTTTCTAATAAATATTTTAAACTACATTTTTGTTATAGCTCCTTTACGTATTTTATGCTGGGCATTAACATTTATCTTAAGATTACGATTTCCGCCCGGTTCATCTACCGATAATAATAAGCTGGACATGAAATCGGAACCGTTGTACCCCCAGTTTCTTAACGGATTTAAACATATCTCGAAGGTGGTTCTGAAGGAGAGTGGGGGGACTCGTCCCCCCCTCCCCCGTGGCTACGCCACTGGCCAAAAATTTAAAAAAAAAACATGTACTGGGATAATACAGTGGCGTATTTTTAATGTTTTCAAACTAAGTCAAAACTAATCACCAACGTCGGATATTTCTTAGCTATATGGTTATTAACCCTATGTATGGCTATGTCATAAGTTCATAACCGGAAAATGTTTAGTCAAAATAATCTGCTGCTGATTGATTTTGGCTTAGTTCAAAAACATAAAAAATATGCAAAAGCGGGGCCTGGGTTTGCCCGTTCGAGCTGTAATACATTGCAAGATAAAAATTAGTTTTGAATTGAATTTTAGCACAATGTCTTCTAGTCAGGTCAATGACAATGTCTTCTCGTACGTGGTTCGAAATTTTTAGAATTTTAAAGAAATGGGTAGCATACACGCAGAGCCTCTGCTTTTTGATAGTATAGCTATAAGTGTGCAAACGTGCATGGGCAAGCATTTATTTATCTATATTTACAAGCGTATCTCTGAACACATGGGTGTTTCACCTCTGACTGGAAAGAAACGTTCTGTTTCAACCATGTCAGGCATACTCGCTCATGTCCATACCACTAAACATCAAATTTCACCCTCTGATTTTAAAATCCTTTCCACTGATAGTTCTGAAGCAGATTTACTCATTCACGAAAGCCTTTTCATATCCAAGCTTAATCCTACTTTAAATGCTAACATTAGGTCAACTCCTCTTGACCTTTTTTAATGCTTTGCTAGGTCTCTAATTACTAACCATTATTTCTTTAATTTACTAATACTATTGCTTTTAATGACAGGTTGTTTTTCATAATTCCTCTCATTCGCTTATCTGAATACTGTAACCGTTTGAAACTATTTGTATATATATATAATACACGCTTGTAAATAAGTTTAATTGCTCTGAAGATGTTGTGAACAATACAACGAAACGTTAGCCAATAAATTTTATATTTTGTTATGTCTTGTCTGAAAGTCATTTGCTGGGCTTTAATTTTCATTTTTAAATTACGCTTTCCACCCGGTGTATCAATCGCTACTATATTTACAAGATTCACCACAGACAACAAAATGCACTTGTATACAAAAATGACACACACTATATACACTGTACTGTATACTATTAAAACAGACTATTAAATCAACATTGCTGTACTTGTTTTAACTAAACACTACACAAAAAGAAAGTTTCGCCCTAAATTACAGGTGTCCCAAAAAACCCGAAAACTATTGAAATCACTTATTGTTAAAATTGAATGCCCTACCAAAAAGCTGAACGTAATGATGCCTAAAATATTGACAAGGTGCATGTATTAAAATTTAGTTAAGAACATCTCCTTGTAAAGTGCGCGATTTTCTGCTGTTGGGAATTCAAAGCAGCTTCTTAAATAGTTTCTTTATGCATAAAATTTACTTGTGTCAATCATTTATGCACTCGTGGGAACCAACAGAGTGCTAAAGCCTGCCGCACACGAGAGCTATCTGCTGAGCAAAAAGTTACTCGTGCCTGTTAGCTCAGCCGATAGCTCACCGTGTGCGGGTACATTTTACTGAGTTTTTTGCCTCGTGCAACCTTTTCTCACGTATCAAACATGTTTGATCGGTGAGCTATCAGCTGAGCTAACAGGCACGAGTGATGCACCTGTGGGATCAACTTAATGCTAGGGCATTCAAATTATAACAATATGATAATTTCTATAATGTCACTTTTTTTTGGGACACCCTGTACAGTATATCATCACAAGTTTTAAATAAATGATTACCTGATAATCAAACCTAGCACTAATTAGACCTGTGGTAGTTTGCTATTTAGAATGTTTGAAGAATGGGGTCATTCATGCTTTAAAGAATGACTTAACCTCCATTAAATACAAATATACCCAATATCAAAATTAACAAGAATAACTTTTTATATTATTTAAATTTCACAACAACAGTAATGTTTCATCATGATTTAATAATGGTGTAACGATATCTATGGGTGTAACCACCATGCACAGGGGCGTAGCGTGCGGGGGGGGGTGTGGGGTGTGACACCCCCCCCAGTTTTAGTGAGGTAGTCGGTAAAACGCGAAGTTATTCGGTAATGGCAAGAGCCATGACAGCGGTCGGTAAAACAAATCGGTTAAAGTGGAATTTTACCCCTCGGTAAATGGCTTTTAATAATAAAAAAAAATTAAATTAATGTTGTGCCTTGTTCTCCAATAAAGTTATGCAAAATGTACGTAATTCTTCAGTATTAAAACACTTATATTAAATATCTACGCATAAGCATTGGAGCCCCTAATTTCCTATCGTATTACACTTGCAAGAGCTGCAAAAACAGTCGGTTCTGATTGGACATGTTCAACTGTGCGCGAACTTTTGACCTTGATACAATGATACGCAAAAGAATTAAAGATTATATTTATATATTTGTTATTGACACGCGGTGCTCATAAAATGTTTCGCCAATTTTTCAAGTCTGTTCATTACAATAAACAACAAGATAAATGCCATTGGGTAAAATGACTTATCGCGAAGTAACAAAGACAACAATTATTCCAATTAATAAAGCGTTTGCTACGTCTCTGTTTCTACGTTATTTCTAGACGGCTGACTAAAGTCACGGTAAGTGTCATTAAATTAAGAGCGGCTCCCTGTAAATATCGAATATCGAGTTTCATACGGCGAAAATTGAATTAGCTCAAAATTTCACAGAATAACGATCAAGATGAAATATTAGTTCTGTCAAAGTTTCAGCTCAATCGAATGAATATTCCTCCTGATTGACGAAAATTTCTTGGTCTTCCACGTTCTCCGTGTCGCGTCGGCCATTTTAGTTAGAGTACTATAGAGGGCCCAAATTTTTTA